ACTGAGTACAATATTGTATAACTGTATTAATTCAATGATAAACCTAAAAATTTAAAGCCAGTTTTGAAGGAGATGCATCTTAGCTCTGGAAATTGTTATTGAATATGTCAGTGCTGTTGTAATGAAATGTTTCTTTTGATTGTGTGGTTATTAAATAAATAATTTTAAAAAACCATTACTACTTTAGCCATCTCTAAATATACAGTTCCATGACATCACCACCATCAACCTACAGAATGTTTTTCATTTTCTAGGATAAAACTCTACCTATGAAGCACCAACTCCTCATCCCCTGGAATTTACCCCTCTAGTTTCTTTCTCTATGTATTTGATAAGAGCCTCATTTTAGTGGAATCACATAGTATTTTACCTTTTGTGACTGGTTTGCTTTATTCAAGGGTCATTAATGCTGTAAAATGTGTCATTGTATGACACTGTGCTTGTCCATCCGTTCAACTACAAATGCTTGAGTTGCTTCTGCATTCTGTCTATTGTGAATAATGCTGTTATGAATGAGTTTGGAAATTTCTGTTTAAAATACTGGCTTTACTTCTTTTCACCATACACCCAGAAATGAATTGCTGGGTTATATGGGAATTCTATTTTTTTTTGACCTTCCATACCATTAGTTTCACCATTTATAGTCACCCCAGAAGTGCACAAAGGTTCCAGTTTTTTCCAAATTCTTGCCAAGATTTGTTTTCTGGTTTTTGTTTTTATAATAGCCATTCTATTGAGTGTGAAGTGGTATCTTATGGCTTTTACTTTTTCTTTAACGGCTTAGTGATGTTGAGCATCTTTTAATGTGCTGACTGATTATTTGTGTATTTTCCTTGAAGAATTGCCTGTCAAGTCCTTTAGCTATTTTTTTAAAACACTCTATTTGTTTTATATATGTGAGTGTATTGCCCGCATCTATGTAAGTGTACTTGCGTCTGCCTGTGGAGGTCAGAAGAGGGCAATGGATCCTCCTGGAACTGGAGTTATTGACGGTTGTTAACTGCCATGCGGGTGCTGGGAATTGAACCTGGGTCCTCTACAAGAGCAGACAGTGCTCTTAAATGCTGAACCATGTCTCTAGCCCCCTTTAGCTCTTTTTAAAAATATATTGTTATTGAGCTTTTATACATTTCATATAACAGTTTTTGATCAAATTTAGACCCCTTTCCCTATCCATGCCTTCCCCGCCCCCCCCCCACAGGGCCCCATGCATTCTGTCATACATGTCAAGTCCCATCCAGTCAAGCATTTCACCCAGATGTCCCTCAGTGCAAGCCCACTTACTGGAGTCTGTTCATCCCACTTAGAGATCTTAAAGAAGGTACTCTCTCTCACCCAGCAGCAATCAGTCTCCAGGTCCCAGGCCAGGGCTGGTGCTGCTGCCCATTTCACTTGCTCCACTCTAAACCCTTTGATGTGTGGAGAAACATAAAGGGGGACAGGGGCACTATACCTGTCAGGGCATCCCAGGGACAGCTATGTAATCAGTTTGTTTCCCAGCATCTTGGGAGCAGATTGCCCCCTCCTCAAACCTAGCTATATCAACAAAGTCCGAAGAAGTCTGTTAACTCTTAGTGAGCCAACTGACAAGAGCCTATTAACTATTAGTGAGCAGAGTGCTATTGTCCTTAAGGGACAAGGGGGTCAGTCACTATAGTAAAATTAATTAGTTTGTTAAATATAATGATATCATGGCTTTTTATTAAATGTTATGATATCATATAAACTTTGTTTTTGTTTTTACACAACTGATTAATATGTGTCCTAAGAATTATATTTATTTTATGCAGTTAAAATGGGATCTTCTAGTACAGTGTTGTTCAATAAAAGTAGAATAGAATCCACAAATCTGAGCCAAATGTCTATTATAACCTTGAATTGTGTAGCAGCTCTGTTTTAAAAGTAAAACAAAGGTGGAATTAAGTTTTAAACACTTAGCTAATGTAAAAAATAATGAGTATTCCATGTTCTGTTTCTGCCTGCATTACACTTCTGTGGTCCTATGTGTTTATACTCACAGCATGTCCTGTTTCAGATCTATCATATGTAGCTGTTCACTAACCATGTGACTCCAGGGTATTGTACTAGACAGTGTGACTCTGCTGTGACTGCTTGCTGGTAGTCTCTCCTATACCTTGAACACAGTAGCCTCTCTGTTTTCTTAAGTGTTTCTTAAAAAGAGCAGTTTCCCCATTAAAACATTTGGTGTAATGATATGTAAATGTTTTTCTTTGTAGTACAATAAATTTAAATGCAGGATTCTGAAGGAGAAGGTCAACACACCAACCACCACCATTTACAGGTATGTGTGCATCAAATTTAATCAGTGGGAAAATTGAAGGTTTGGTAGTAGAGGCTGTCCTGAATAATTATTAGTGTCAAAAGGGGAGAATGGCCTTTTGATTTTATGACAGTGGAAAGTTTTAAGAGCTGTGGGATGGGACAGTTAGAAATGACGTCTCTCAAGATATAGTTTCTTTAAGATCTTTTGTGGTGTTTAAACTTCACAAAAGATAGCAGTCTGGGATTGGAGGTTAGATGAGTTGTTTTCCTTGCCCCTAAATTAACACTTGCCCCCAAAGTACAACCTTTCTCTTAAAACATATGTGTTCTGGTTTCCTTTCTGTTGCTGTGATAAAACACTTTGACCAAAAGCAACTTAGGGGAGGAAAGGATTTATTTGGCTTACACTTCCAGGTCATAGTCTATTATTGAGGGAAGTCGAAGCAGTAGCCCAAGCAGGAGCCCAAAGCAGAAACCATGCAGGCTCCCTCTTTTCTAGCTTTCTTATATACCCCATGACTATCTACCTCTGGATGGTGCCATCTACAGAGGGCTGGGCCTCCTTTATCAGTTAAGATAATCAAGTCAATCCCTCACATCATACCCACAGACCAACCTGGTAAAGATAGTTACTCAGTTCAGATTCTTTTTTCATGTGATTTTAGGTGTTGTCAAGTTGGTAGTTAATGCTAACTAGGACAATATAGTAATTAGTTTATAATGGATAGTCCAAAAGAGATAACTATGTCTGGGTATGCCTTAAATCTCTTATAGGTGTGGTCCATTGATTGACCTTTGTAAAGGCCCTCATGTAAGACACACTGGAAAAATTAAAGCCATAAAAATTTTCAAGGTAAGGGATTTATTTTATTTATAAGTAAAGCAAATAAGATAAACTAGATAACAGATTTCAGTAATATCTTCTAGGATCTGAATATGATAATATTTTTAAATACTTCATTCTTATTTCACTAAAAATGATATTTTAGAATTTTGATCATTAGAACATTATGTATCTTATGATTATCATTTAATCTTATTGTATTACAGTGTATATTTTTGGGTTTTTTGGTTTTGTTTTTTTTTTTGTCTTTTTGAGACAGGGTCTCCCTGTAGCCCCAGCTGTCCTGGAACTCACTATGTAGACCAGGCTGGCCTTGAACTTACAGAGATCCGCCTGCCTCTGCCTCCCAAGTGCTGGGACTACAGGCATGTGCCACCACACCCGGCTACAATGTTTTTGTTTTTTTTTTTATGCTTATGTTAACATCTGACTCCAGCCTTTAGCCACTGATCTAGAGGAGGGAGATGTGGCCAGTAACGGATGCTAGAGAAACAGAGTGGTCTTCCCAGTCATGTTTATGTGCCAAATTTAGATTTTAAGAATATTGACTTGTTTTTTTTTT